TTACCTCCGCCACTACCAATTTTTTTTAATTTTCGAATTTTTTTTACCAAATTAAAGGTTATTTTAACGAATTCAACTATGTGTGATAAAGTTATTTTCCGAAGTATTATTTTCGAGAAATAATTATAAACGCTTCTATACCATTCATGCTCGTTTACGTTGCGCGCACACAGCAATTCTTCACGCAGCACATTCTGCTCGCATTTTTGCATTTAACATTTAACTAATTTAGGGAATAACGATGAAAGCAAATCTATTTTCGCAATATTCTGCGGATGTATAACTATGAATCGTTTTTATCGCGCACGGCTAGACAATGCTAACGAAGCAAAATTTGAATGTCGTAGGGTCAAGTCAAATCGATGTAAACAATTTATTGCGGGAACAGTCTGTACGTATAATCACAGCAGTATAAAATGCTGTCGCTATGTGAATGTTAAAATTAGTGCACCGTGATATCCTGTATCAATAACATCGTATAGAAACATCAGTATCAATCACTACAGGCAATTTTGTAAGTATATTTTTTAAATATTTCAAAAATTTATATTAATATTTATACTTTTCAGATATCGAAATGCACACGCAGCAACTCAAATGAGCGTCCCACATTTGAGTCAGCACTCTACTTTAAAACGACCTGTGTCCCGTGCGGCGGAATGCGCAGATATGCCTCAGTCGGATCCAGAGACGGGAGCAGGTCCGGAGACACGGAAAGGGTTTATGTAAAGAATAATTGTTTGCATTTAGAATTATATTTGTTTGGCGCCAGAGGTATGCCGTGTGCTTATGTTGACTTGCATCGTCGTGTGATTGATGCGGGAGCGCCCCGTTTGACCTCGTTAATATTGGCCACCGTTTCAATTGACCACGTTGTTATTGACCACGTTACTATTGACTACATTAATATTTACCACGTTGAGATTGACCACGGTTCCGATTGACCACTGTCCCGATTGGCCACCGTCCCGATTTGCCACCGTTCCGTTTGACCACCGTCCCGATTGACCACCGTCCCAATTGACCACGGTTACGATTGACCACCGTCCCGATTGACCACCGTTTCGTTTGGCCACCGTCAACTGACTCCGTGACTGACTCCGTGAACCCGGGACCGGCTTTTATACTCTCGCGGATCTCCCCCCTCTCTACTTACAACACGCTCGGACGGACAAATAACAAAATATATGTATACACAGAAGACATAAAACAAAGATAGCCCGATAAACAATTTAA